AACGAAGCCGACGCCTACTCGGCACCACCAAAGAGGTTGTACACTCATCGCATCGCACCTTCTCCTTAACTCAACCTCCCGGTGACGACGGTGCTCCATCCCACACCCCCATGGAGCGGCTACCTTGAAGCCGGCGCCGCGGGCGACATCTCCACGGCGGCTCTCCCCTAGTGCGAGGCCCCTTCGGCGGCGGCGTCCATACCAGCCAGATTTGCTGCTGCTGCTCCGGCTCTCGCTCGATCGCTCGCTCGCCCAGCTGCCGCTGCTGCTGCTCTTCCCCTCGCTCGCGCTGCTGCTCTGCTCCGATTAAGCCACACTTTAGTCGACTGAATCGACTTTTGGGTCAGTCGATTTTCAGGGGTTGGGGGGCTCGCTAGAGTTAAGGAAGAACCACCAGCAGCGGGGACGGGGGCTCGCCAGAGAGGTACCACACTATCTATATTAGGGTTCAGGGTGGAGGGCGGGGGGCCTAGAGGGCTGGCCGGGGTGGCGGTGGCGAGTTGTTTCGGGGCGGCGAGGCGGCGCTGGGGCCGGCGGCGAGGCCGGTGGTGGCTGGCGGCTCAGGGGGGTGTAGGTTGAAGATGAACTGCATGCCCTCCCTAAACTACATGTCAAGTGCCTCTCTGCTACCATTGCGTTTAGTTTCGACAGTAGCATTCAGATTCCACAGTAAATTTCAGTTTCGACAGTTAAGTTCAGAGTCAATAGTTTTTACCTCATCTGTTGTAGTCAGGTGGTTTTTGGTGATGTTAATTTTAAATCAATTTTACATCATCTATTGGAGATGCTATTAGAATCCCACTTGAGATTGACGATGTCTGTCTTGTGCTGCTTCAGCCTTGACGTCTTACGGCTCACCGGAGTTGCTCCAACGACAGAACGATCCGTCACAACAGAGCAGTGCCCTGGACGCCGTCTACAGATTCCTCAGATCTTCCTCCACACCTCCGACAGCCACCTCCGCCTCAACTGCTTCAACGACCAACCCAATGATGCTGAGGTCGACACGGCTACGGCAAAGAGGTTGTACACTTGTTGCATCACTTATTACTATACATTCACGTCGATCCATTAGGGCTATTTTGGTTCAACGGAAAAACATCGATCCACTGGTTGTTACCATCACTCTAAATTTCTGCATGCTCTCCTTACATAATCTCACCATATTTTTTTCGTATGCATGTCAGATATTGTACACAGTCATGCTGAACATGTAGAGAAAAAGAGAAGAGTTTTGCGCGGCAATACAATGTCATGGAGACGTCGCTCCATGGTGGGTTCAATGGCAAACCCTCCCTACCCCTCTCCAGATTGTAATCCAGAGGAAGATATCTGTTCTGAGGTGGATTCGGACGCCGCTGACCACTCCTATTTACCCCCAAGGTGTTTTCTCTACCTTGGCATGATGATGTTAGTCATATCATGCATATGTTGCCTTGCAGTGCCTACTTTTGACATCATATATGTCATCTGCTTAGTTTAGACATGTTCTGTAATGCCACCTGTTTAGTTTCTATATCATATGTGGGAATTATGCAGTCTCATGTCTTTTAGCCAGCCATAATATATGTGAAATGTGCAATGCCATCCTGTTTAACCAGGCATCATATATTTGAATGATATCTTGCCCATCCTTTTCTTCATTACATTTCCATTTGTCGACAATGTTTGTACATTAAACTACTCTTCCTGTGAATCAGCCATTTGGGTGGGAGATGGAAAAATCTGGAGTGAAAACAAGGCCTTCAGAGCAGACAGTACTACCTGTCGAAGCAGATCTCTTGTTGTGTCCCGATAGCTCCTCAGAGATGGATTCAGAGACAGATGACCAGTCCTATTCCCCCACTGAGGTGTATGCTCTAACTTGGCACGATTATACTGCTCATATCATGTATACGATGTCTTGCATTGCATAGTTTAGACATCATATACACAATATTCAACACCATGTTCTTAGTTCAGACATCATATCGAATGCCCTCTGTTTAGCATATAAATCACATATGTGAATTAAATGATGCGATCCTGATTACTTAGATAACATGTAGGTGAATTATGCCATGTGATCCTGTTTAGTTATTCATCATATCTTTGAATTATGTTATGCTATGCTATCCAGTTTAGATAGACATCATATATATATGTGAAATTATATCATGCTATCCGTTTTAGTTAAACTAGCAAAACATGCCCGTGCGTTGCAACGGAAGAAAAGGTGTCCTTGTACCGTCCTACTTGAATGCGACATGTAAGCATGTTTATGATCGGAGCAAACTCGGTTGCGACGAATCAGGCGACAATGCGGTTCGAACATAGTGCCGGCATGGATGAGCGCAGAGTTGAGGTGTTGAAAACAGCATCGCAAAGACGTCCACAACCGTTCGTGATGTTGATCTCTATCTTTGGTGTTGGAGTGAATGAGCGTGGAGCCCGGATGGAAGTTGAAACAGGGCATGTCTTCGGTTGGCATGAACAGTGTAGCATCCGAACTGTCTCATCTGGTGACAGGGAGTTGCACACCAAATTCTACAGAAAACACATATTAGCTGCATATTTTTTTAGACGATAGAGCGGAGAAGATGAAAAAATGATACAAATTTCATGTATCAAGCCAGTGTGGGGTTTTATGGGCAGCTTAGAGATCGCCTGCTTTGCACTTTCTCAGTACAGGACACATGCACAAAATACTAATATTCTTTATAGCTTCCCTTTTGTACTACTGTGCATGCATATACTGCATGCACACATGAGCCTCTTGCATCAATATTAAGCCCAACCAAAGGACCTCTTGCATCACATATGAGCCACTACTTCTTAAGCGAATTTTTAATATATCCCATATTATCTCTTGCATCACATATGAGCCACTACTTTGGGCGAAAGCGTATTGTGATGGTGAACCCACGGAGTCAAGAATGCTTGGTGGCAGTATCGGAATTACCTGAAGAAAACGTACTTCATCGGCAAAGAAACTCATCAAATTCCCTTACGTTCTCCTGAGACACATTTACTGGATGATGACTGGGAACGCCTTGTTCTGTACTGGTCCCGAACCAAGAATGTGGTAAGGTCCATGAGCTCATTTTCTATTTTTAAGTATTATATTCTTGCGTCTTACTGTACTCTGCTCATGTAGAACAAGTGCCTAAACCTGAAGAACAACTGTTCTAATTTAAGATTCCATTGCTACCATAGGACATAGATATATGTTTGTTTGATGCTTTTATTATGTACTAGTACTTGGCAATAGAAGACTTGGTAGTTTAATCCTGTCCACCTTACTAATGAACTGGTTCATCGAAATGAGTATCGTGTAACTCCCGGATACCGTAGGAGTGCTTTGGGTGTACCAAACATCACAACGTAACTGGGTGACTATAAAGGTATACTACGGGTATCTCCGAAAGTATCTGTTGGGTTGACACGAATCAAGACTGGGATTTGTCACTCCATATGACGGAGAGGTATCTTTGGGCCCACTCGGTAATGCATCATCATAATGAGCTCAAAGTGACCAAGTGTCTGGTCACGGGATCATGCATTACGGTACGAGTAAAGTGACTTGCCGGTAACGAGATTGAACGAGGTATTGGGATACTGACGATCGAATCTCGGGCAAGTAACGTACCGATTGACAAAGGGAATTGAATACGTGATTGCTTGAATCCTCGACGTCGTGGTTCATCCGATGAGATCATCGAGGAGCATGTGGGAGCCAACATGGGTATCCAGATCCCACTGTTGGTTATTGTCCGGAGAGTCATCTCGGTCATGTCTACATGTCTCCCGAACCTGTAGGGTCTACACACTTAAGGTTCGGTGACGCAAGGGTTGTAGAGATATGAGTATGCAGTAACCCGAAAGTTGTTCGGAGTCCTGGATGAGATCCCGGACGTCACGAGGAGTTCCGGAATGGTCCAGAGGTGAAGAATTATATATAGGAAGTGCAGTTTCGGCCATCGGGAGAGTTTCGGGGGTCAGCGGTATTGTACCGGGACCACCGGAAGGGTCCCGGGGGTCCACCGGGTGGGGCCACCCATTCCGGAGGGCCTCATGGGCTGAAGTGGGGAGGGAACCAGCCCATAGTGGGCTGGTGCTCCCCCCCCTTGGGCCCCCCATGTGCCTAGGGTTGGGAACCCTAGGGGAGGGGGCGCCTCCACTTGCCTTGGGGGGCACTCCACCCCCTTGGCCGCCGCCCCCCCTAGGAGATCCCATCTCCTAGGGCCGGCGCACCCCCTAGGGGCCTATATAAAGGGTGGGGGAGGGAGGGCAGCCACACCTGAAGCCTCGGCGCCTCCCTCTCCCCTGTTACACCTCTCCCTCTCGCAGAAACTCGGCGAAGCCCTGCTGCGATCACTGCTGCATCCACCACCACGTCGTCGTGCTGCTGGATCTCCGTCAACCTCTCCTTTCCTTGCTGGATCAAGAAGGAGGAGACGTCATCCGCTCCGTACGTGTGTTGAACGCGGAGGTGCCGTCCGTTCGGCACTTGGTCATCGGTGATTTGGATCACGGCGAGTACGACTCCATCATCCCCGTTCTCTTGAACGCTTCCGCTCGCGATCTACAAGGGTATGTAGATGCACTCCGCTCTCGTTGCTAGATGACTCCATAGATAAATCTTGGTAAAACGTAGATAAAATTTTTTGTTTTCTGCAACGTTCCCCAACATGTTGCACAGGTAAACTAGCTGAAGCAATCGCGAGGTTCAGAACTTCTTCCAACTGTACCAATGTATATGCCTGGATGCATGCAAAGGATGGCCATGGTAATGGCCACGACTCAACTTTGCCATCATTGACTTGGGTGAACTGGGACGTCAAGGGAAAATCGATCTTGACAGGTACCTTTGTCGAGCAACTAGTGAGTGCCAAGTTGTTCAGATTGAAGATAGGGAACAGCCAACGCAGCGGCATCTGAATGGCTTCCAGTGCAGCAGGCTCAGGGGCGATGCTGCCTGCAGTCTTGAATGAAGATGGTGCTGCGGATGAGGTGAGCACCTACTCCTCGGGTGTTTCGCAGCTTGGGCACCCCGTCAAATAGGTGGTGGGTGTCGTAGTGGCGTCGTTGGTGTTGTCGACTTTGATCACCTTGTCATACACACTGAGCTCCAGGATGGCGTTGCCGGTGATCGCTGACTGAGTTGATGTTTTAGGAGCGGCAAGCTCGGACGGAGTCTCGCTGATGGCGCCCATGGACGCCTCGAGATGGAGGTCGTCGGTGGAAGCATCAGGCACCACATCATGGCGCTGGACCGCATCCAACGCTGCCTCCCATTCCGCGTACAGAGTGTCGTCGTAGAAGTACGACGGCACCATCCCGTCGTCATCCGGCATGGTGATGGTGGTGTAGGTCGGTGGTAGGAGGTCCACGGAAAGGATGCAACACCCCTCGTAGATGGCATGGCCATCCAGGGCATCTCGAGCTCGGGTCGCCCTCCACCGTGACCGGAACTCGACATATGCCTCAACGCCGTACATCCCGTCCACCACCCGCTCATAAGCGCAGATCACATACCCATCACCGGAGCGACGGAACAACTCGCGAATCGACTCGACGGTGACCGCCTGGCGAACATTGTTGATCTGGGCGTGGAAAACTCCCTCGGGGCAGGCAAAATTGTGGCTTGGCATTCTATCGAATGGGGTGCAAGCGGAGGATGGAGAAGAAATTTTTGGTGGAATTTTTTGAGGAATTTGAAGGAGGATCGAACGGCTCTGATGCCAATTGTTAGGTTCCAGCTACTAGTTTCACTCAATCACCATGGTTTGGCTACAAATCAAGAATTACAGGAGGAGGAAGCAGAGGAAGGAGGAGACAGCAGAGGAAGAACACGCTACAAAGAGGGAGATCGCCAGCCAGGCCGAAGCCTTCCGTCCAAGCCGCCTCTTTCGTGGGCACCCGTGTGCCCTTTTGTAGTTGGAGGCCATCCATCTTCTGGGCCAGATCGAGGCGAATAGGGCCGGCCCATAGTATGGTCGCTGACACATTGTTTAGTCAAAAGCTTGTGATCGTGTGATTCAGGGCTCAATTGTGTGCCGGGTGTCGTTTCTGACAGAGTTGGTGTATGATGACTGGTTTCTCTGGATGATTTATGTTGGACAGCAGTCCTCCATCCTTTGTTTTCGTGTGCACTGGTGATGGGCAGAATAGACTTGAAATAATTTCAACTTGTAGAAACATTTCTTGTGTGCAGAAGTCATATCCTCATACCATTTGGAACCAAAATGTAGAAACATATTTGAGTCATCCTTAAGATCATTTTGCTTGGCTTGTGCAATAACAACATTCAGTTTTCACCAACTCAAGCCCATACTCTTGCTGAACGATCTGTACAGTTTTCACACAATCAAAGAGCATAGTATCACTACCCAAAAGACTAGGAAGGTAGCCACACATAGAGTGTGTATTTAGGCACTGCTAAAACATCCAGCCTTCAAATAATGTTAGCTTAACACTGGAGTACTAAACTGGAGCAGGAGAGCTAGGCAGGAGATACAAGCTGCTAAAACATCTTGCCTCCATTAGTAAGAGAGTGCTTTACAAGGCACTGCATCACAATGTAAAAAGTCCTAAACAATGGCCCCTTCATCATTCATCAGTGCACCTTGGTTTCGGATACGGGTTGTTGAGTGCTGCCTTTTTGATTCGTTCGATCAGCTTCTTGTCAAGATGCAGATAGCAGCTTCTTTCGGCATTTCCCTGCAATTTGAGAAAATGCAAGAAATAAGAATCAGTGGTGCTCCACAATCTAGTTATCTTTGAAGTGGCATGTCTTACCGTGTATGATTCCAGGAGATTTCTCCACTTATCCTGAAAAATTAAACAAAACGATGGATTGGTGTTAGTGGCGGACCTAGGACAAATAATTAGAGGGGGTGCCGACGAGAGAAGGTAAGAACAACATGAGACAAATGCACCAAACATAAAACTAATTCAACCATCATTCATTCATTCAGTGGATGGCGGTATCTCACAGAATGTATCACCAGTCACCACACCGCTTTACCTTGAGATTGCTCGCAGTTCGGACCGACGTTGGAAACCATTTCTTCTTCATCGCAGACCACCGTGCAACCCCGCAATCTTCGACGCCATCCACCAGCGTAGCTACCTCTTCAGGTGTCCAGTGGCTATTGTTGGTTCTATGTGATGTTTGCTGTTAAAACAACCAACGACGTAGAATTCTTTGGCTGTTTTTCCATTGATGTATTAATAAGAATTGAAAATCTGAACTAAAAAAGGGTGTACAATATACAGAAAACAGTCGATATATGTGCGAGATAATTAACTAGTTTGAATTTCCACCCGAGAATAGACATAGGCCTTACCCCAAAATGGTTACCCAGATGCCAAGATTGATCTGTGCACAACAGCACCCTTCTCTTGCGAGGGCCTCTCTTGCGCCTCCAGCCGCTCTCTGGTCCATCTGCTGTATGAGTGGCGCACTCCGTCTCCGGTGGCGTGGCGTCTGGCGCCTCATCGTGGGTAGAAGGACAGTGGGGAGCTGCAAGTTGGCCTCCATTGGCTTCAAAGCCTGAAACCATAGATGAACAGATGCACTTGGTTTCCTATGTAAACTAGCATCGATATACTTGATCTCTTTTGTATTGCTGGTACCATCCACTGTATGATCGGCCCACTCCGTCTCCGGCGATGTGGCATCTGGCGTCTCATCGTGAGTAGAAGGAAAATAGGGAGCTGCAAGTTGGCCTCCCTTGGCTCCAAAGCCTGAAACCATAGACAGACGATCTCTTTTGTAATGTCGATAATACCATAGATAGATAGATGATCTCATTTGTTGTAACAAAATTCAGAGAAGAACAAACTAGCATCGCACCTTCCCAACATCCGTGGAGGTCACTCTCGTCAGGTGGTACTCCGAGCAGCTGGTCGATCGGCACGTCATACACTGAATAGAATTCGGTGTTCATCTGCCGTTAACAACAATGAAACACATGTGTTAATTTCATTAACAAGAATGAATGGAACTGCATAACCATTGTGTCAGATTTGATAAGATGAATAGAACTATGATCACATTAAGCCAGATTTGCTCATGGACCCATATTGTGCCCAGATTGTCTCAGTATGCTCACTGAGCACTCTCGCCGTGATTGTCTGAGTACGATCCGCCAACGGGGGACGCCCGCCCCTCCGCCGTTGACATTTCCCCACACTTCCGGCCGTGCACCGCGGACGCCGGCGCTGGCCACTGAACGCACCTGGCCGCCAACCCCCGACGGCCGCCTCCGCATATTGCGTCCAGGTTATCTCAGAATCTCACTGAGCACGGTGCATGTGTAGTGCAGGCCGCGCACTAAGGCACTCTCGACGCTATGGAATGGAAGCACCACACCCTGATCCGCCAATGGGGGGACGTCCGCCCCTCCCCCTCGCCTCTTCTCTGAACTTTCCCCACACTGCCGTACCGGCCGTCCGCCGTCCATCGCGGCCGCCGGCCGCGGCCGCTAGGTCGTCCACCTTCCCGCACTGAACTGAACGCGCCTGCCCGCCTCCGCCTCGCCCCCCTCCACCTCGTCGGCGAGCTCGGCCACGGTCATCTCGCGCGCGCGGATCTTCCTCCGCCGCCTGCCTCCCCGCTCTGCCCGCTCAAGGCTGTCGACCTCCGCGACGACGACCGGGGCCTGCCCCGCGCTGTCTCCTCGCTCGACCACCCGTCCGTGCCCACCCCTGCACGCGCAGCTCGACCACGGACGCTACGCGTGCCTCCTCTGTTCCTCATCGACTACGGTCCCGGAGGCGATCTGCACTCGGGGCTGCAATGCAGGCGCGCGGCGACGGGCGCGCACACCCGAGCTCAAATGGCAGCGGCATCCAGAGAAGGGGGTGGCGGATCAACTACGAACTACAGTATGCCCGGCGCGCGCGCGTGCAGCGGAGAAGGAACCAAGACGAACAGCAAAAACGAGGAAAAGAACCATGAAAGAGACACGCACCGGCTGCTGATTTGTGCTGATCAGGAATCCACCGCCGGCTGCTGCTGAGTTCGTCCAGTTCTTGAGCTGAGCAAAGAGGAGGCTGAGGGTGTGTGTATCCGCCACGAGCCCGGGACTGTTCCTACCGACTTAAAAAAGAAATTCTCAACCGTGTTGCTTTGAGCAACTTCCCTTTTCACTCCACATGGTCATGGCTGGCCCATGTTTCTCCCTAAGCGTGAAATGTCATTTTCAGCGGGGTCCGATGCTTTTATATGGGGTGTGAATGTTACTTTTAATACGGTTCAATGTTTTTCTATAGGTATGAAATGTCATTTTAGGCGGATCCTATATAATGCTTATCATGACTTTGATGGACGTCGGTGTCCCTAAATGTTTCACCTATGTTTTTTCGTATATTTAGTGGATGTAAGAAGTCGGTGTCGCTGGATGTCCCATCTAATGATTTTCACAAATTTAATAGATGTGACTAATCATTGTCACTAGTAGGGTTGTGCATGCTTTGCTGCACTGTTTGTGTTGTTGGGATATCATAATAAAATTTATTTAGTTTGGCACGTGAGATGATTGTGCATGTTATCATTTTTTATATAAGAAGGTGTTTTGGTGGGCCCTTTCTGACTTAATTTATTTAGTTTGACACGCGTGGAATGTTTCTTTATATGTACTATGCTTCTCCGTCCCCTCATTCTCGCCACCATGGAAGTACCACAGACCGCACCCTCCTCGATCATCCGAACATGGACATCCTTGAGTCCAGCCTTCCGTCCCCCTCCTTCTCTGACATTTCCACACACTACCGTCTCGGCCGTACATTGCGGACGCCGGCCGAGGACGCGGCCGCATAGGC